TGTGGCCACGGCGATAGCAGAGATGAGATTGGTCAATGCTTGCGGCGATACTAACGGCTTGAACAGAAGATATCTTCCCATAGTGTAGTTGCCCAGGGACAGGCTCGGAGTGTGCTGATCATCGCTTTCGATCCTCGTCACATGAGTCGTCGCTTTTCGCCGTTCCTGGGATGGACAGGCTGAACGTAGCGCAGTAGACGCAGACACAAGCCCTGAGAATTTGCCTGGCTCATAATCAGCTCTACTATTGCTCCTCCGAGAGAGAACATTTACTGTGGGCAAGGACGGGCGAAGAACGCAGAGGAATGATGGTCACAGCACATGTAGATCTGCTACTAGGAATGGAGAAATTCCTCACCGTACTGCCGATGATGCGAGAGTCTATCAGACCCTGCGACGACACACCTTCAATGCTTGGAGTTCCTTCTCGATCAACCTGCTGTTCTGCATCGCGGTCTGCAACAGTGTTGCCTCGAATAAGTGTCTGCATCGCTCCGCCGTTCTCTCGTACATTTTTGTCTGGAGATGTAAGCATCAGCTACTCGTACAGCGCACGTGGCTCACTGTCTCCTGTCTTTTCGCGTACGTTCGCCAAGCTCGTTGGATCCTCCTCGCACACACCTTCTCAAGCAATCGAACGCCTCCAATACCCAAGTCGTTACTGGTAACCAGCACATCTCGAGACAGTCTCTGTCGTAGGCCTGAGAGTCTTCTCGCTGTATGCAGTTGGTCATAAATCGTCTCGACGTCCCCAATTGTCCTCGTTCGATACTCGCTAGATGGAGAATCGTACAGCTTCTGTGAAGCACCACCATCGCTGTTCGATCTGTCACTCGTACCCGGTGCTGGTACTGCCCATGGGCTTGGACTCACACTCGATGAACCATCTTCAGCAAGCCTTCGGAAGATCTCTCCCAAGTCAGCTGCTGAGCGATATCTCATTTCTGGTGACACCTCCTGGGCTTCCACAGCATTCGCTGTATACCGCTCCGACACTGTACGTACACAGAGAGCGTCGAGCCCTGCTGAACTCTCAGCGTCTAGTGATGACCTTGGGCTCGAAACGACCTAAAATTGGAGTTTGACACTAATCTCGGCCTTTGTAACGATCGGATTATTCAGTGAATAAACTGTGATGGTTAATAAAACCCTCCTGCAGAGAGTATGATCGTCCTTTCTAGCGCTGGAAGTTTCTCTCTCTAGTCCTATCAAGAGAGAGAACACTCCCACAGGAGTCAGCAGTGTTAAAGTACATGTTCGTTTTCTTGAACCGACCTCAGGAGTGTCTTCACTGATTATAGGTGTTCATATACGAGTTCGACTAGAAGCGTACAGAAACCAACGAGAGTTCCTCAAAGTTTCCTCAGAATTTCCATATTGTCGCCCACACACGTAGTTGACCATGTGCACAGTTTCCCCACACTGGGAGTGTGAGACCCTTATGGTATAACCACCTTGCACTCTAGATTCCAGTAAATCTAGATCAATTGCAATTTCGAGTTGTCGCTGCGCCTGCGACAAAAAGACCGTTATATACTTCCTGCTCTCATATACAAGCGCTGAGAGATATGCGGGTGTGAGGAAATGTTACACACAAGTGGCTGTCTTAGTTCTCAGATTCCCGCGATCGTCGCGTCCTTGCCAGCATAGCGTTTGCCTAATGATGTAGACGGACGATAACTACGAACGATTAAGTATTGTGTTGTTTCTGTGTGAGTTGTCTTCTCGTCTCTGG